CTTAATGAAAAAAATATTTTTGTTTTTATTTCTTTTAAGTAATTTCAGAATATAGTTGTTTTCTTTCAATTGTATTTTCTTTAAAAAAAGGTTTTTTAGTTTTTTTTTTTTAAAGAATTAAATTATTTTTTATTTTACTAGGTTTTTCAATCGTTTTTTTTTCCTAAATGAAAAAAAATATTTTTGTTTTTATTTCTTTTAAGTAATTTCAGAATATAGTTGTTTTCTTTCAATTGCATTTTCTTTAAAAAATGTTTTTTTAGTTTCTTTCTTTTACATAATTAAATTATTTTTTATTTTACTAGGTTTTTCAATCGTTTTTTTCCTAAAATTAAAAAATATTTTTGTTTTTATTTCTTTTAAGTAATTTCAGAATATAGTTGTTTTCTTTTAATTGTATTTTCTTAAAAAAAAAGGTTTTTTAATTTTTTTTCTTTTAAAGAATTAAATTATTTTTTATTTTACTAGGTTTTTCAATCGTTTTTTTCCCTAAATGATATTGAAAAAAATATTTTTTGTTTTTTTATTCTTTTGAAGTATTTATATTGCATGAGTTCAGTTTATAAAAGGTTTTTTCATTTGTTTTTTCCCTAATAAAAAATATGTTTTTTGTTATGTTTTTACAAACGTTTTATAATATTATATGAAATTGTTTTATACATATATATTTTTGTAAACATTTGTATAAGTAAATAAAAAAATAAATAAGTTGTTATTGAAAATTTTCGTTTTCAGTAAATTCTTTTTTAAATGCTTTTTTTACTAGGTTTTTCAATCGTTTTTTTTCCTAAAAACTAAAAAAAAACATTTTTGTTTTTATTTCTTTTAAGTAATCTTAGAATATAATTGTTTTGTTTTAATTGTATTTTCTTTAAAAAATGTTTTTTTAGTTTTTTTTCTTTTAAAGAATTAAATCATTTTTTATTCTACTAGGTTTTTCAATCTTTTTTTTCGTAAATGAAAAAAATGTTTTTTGTTTTTATTTCTGTAAGTAATCTCAGAATATAGTTGTTTTCTTTCAATTGTATTTTCTTTAAAATAGGGTAAGTGTGGGTATTTCTGTGAATTTTTAGTGTAGGTTAACTTTGAGAAGCTCGTCTAAGTTTACGAAAAAATGAAATGCAGTTTTTTCAATTACAAATTAAAGTTCAATTATTATATGTTCCAAATGATTAAACTCAATCAAATTTCGTTAATTATTTGTATTTAAAAAAGTAAATTAAAAACTAATTGTCAACACATGTATTATTGTTGACGCGCGAGTATTATTGTGTGACATTTATGAAGGAAATACCAATTATTGTGCGAGTATTATTGCAGAAAATCAGGTGTCGCATATCGCGCTGGTTGTCAAAAAAGAGGTTATGTTTAGTATGCGTTGAGCAGTAAACGTATTTGAAAATCGCAATAATACTAACATGCAGTAAAAATTCTGCTACTAATATGGTTTTAAGTATTATTAATTGAAAATCAATGAAAGATGGGTAAATTAATATATTTTTCAAATAATAAAGTGTACTTCTTTCATTAGTAACACTGAAACTTGTATGCTAAAGTGAAGATTGGAAATATCAATGGTTTTTAATATGCATTCATGACTGACATATTTGATAATTTCACAGAATTCTGTCATAATATATTTCAAGTTTAAATAAATAAATTAATAATTGTCGGAATGCACATTTTTATGAGCTATTCTATCAAGTAAGATTTGAACTAATTTTTGTAATTATTTTGAAATAATTAGGGGTATATTTCGAAATGAAAATAATAATTTTTTAAAAATCGCAATAATTGTGTCACTCCCAGGAATACCCACACTTACCCTATGTTTTTTTTTTAGTTTTTTTCTTTTAAAGAATTAAATTATTTTTTATTTTACTTGGTTTTTTAATCACTTTTTTTTCCTAAATGATATTTGAAAAAAATATTTTTATTTTTTTATTGTTTTGAAGTATTTATATTGCATGAGTTCAGTTTATAAAAGGTTTTTTTAAATTGTTTTTTCCGTAATAAAAAATATGTTTTTGTTATGTTTTTACAAACGTTTTATAATATTATTTTTCTATTGTATATTATATGAAATTGTTTTATACATATATATTTTCGTAAGCATTTGTATAAGTAAATAAAAAAAATAAATAAGTTGTTATTGAAAATTTTGGTTTTCTGTAAATTCTTTTTTAAGTGCTTTATAATATTTAGGTTAAAAAACTGTTATATTTTACTAAAACTATTTTTTTAAAAATTAATTTAGTTTTAAAAAATATACATTTAAAACTAAGTTTAAATTAATATGAATATTTAGTTTATTTTAATTTATTATAACATAAATTTATTTACAAAATTTTTTTTACAATAATATTAATAATTAATTATCTATTAAGGTTTATTTAACTTATTTTTTTACTTGTTGCTCAGAATTAACTATTTAATATTTTTAATAATTTTATTTATTTATTAATAGAATAAGGTATATATATCATATCAATTATACCTTATTAGTAATTTGCGTTTTTCATATTCAAATTTCGCGCGTTACCGACGGAGAGTGCACGGTGGGGTGAGCGCGTAGTGGGGGAACCGCTTGGCGGGGAGAGAGCCCTACGAGGGTGACTAGCACGCAGTAGAGAGCTCATTCCAGATCGCGGAGAGGCATGGAGCGGTCTACGATGGAGAGCTGCCGGTGCTACCACTGCCTCGAGAGGATGGTATCTGAGTACAATGTGAGTATACTATAATATAATATAATATGATATAATATAATATAATATAATATAATAATATAATATAATATAATATAATATAATATAATATAATATAATATAATATAATATAATATAATATAATATAATATAATATAATATAATATAATATAATATATTATGTTATAATATAATATATTTTTCAGTTGCAGCATGAAGGTAACGAGGTGCCATTCCCCGCAACTCCTCCAGGGTCGACCCAGTCACAGTGGCACCAGGTGGTGAATCCGCTACCACCTTCGGTGGACATCAGGTCGCCGACATCGGAGGTGTCACCGCTGCACGCCATGTACCCTATGTGGCGGCCATATTCACCACCCTGGGCGTTGGTGGAACGACCGCCGACACCACCTTAACCCAGGATGGAACCGGAGTCTCCCCCACCCTTCATTCAGTTGGGGACCCCACCCAGGTCGCCTACACCGGTGGAATGGCTGCCTACAACCCCGCCAGGAAGTCCGCCACGGTGTAGGTCGCCGATACCCAGGGCGCAGTCTTCCGAGCCCAGGGTGGAGGAGAGAGAGCTGGCGGGACCTCCACCAGAGGCGCAGCCGCCGCCTGCTCACGGTCGGCGTCGCTGCCATCGACGGCGGCGCGTAATTTTAAATTTAACTTTAAATTTTATTTTTAAAAATTAATAAATTTTTATTTTTTTATAAATTAGTATATTTATTTTGCGTATCCTGTATAGAAATTAGACTGCGTTAGAGTAAGAGTATTGCGCATGCGTGAATAGGTGGGGGAAAATTTAAGAGTGGGGATGCGTGATAGGTTGGAGTGAGGGTAAATGGTCTAGTGCGCATGCGTGAAAGGTAGGAGTGGGGATTTCGGGGTATATATTCAGGGATTTTGGCGAGTTTAGTCAGTAGCTGTTCTGTTCACAGATTCAGCGGTTCCAACAGCAGCAGCATCAGCAGATTCCCCTTGCCATCACTAATTGTCTTTTTTGTTATATTTACTGTCTTTTTTGTTACATTTACTTTGTATTGGTTTGTAGGTTAAGTTCTTTAGTTTGTAAGTTCGTTTTGTTTAGTATAAGTTTGTTAGTTTGTAAGTGTGTTCTTTTTTAGTTTGTAAGTGTGTTCTTTTGTTAGCTTGTAAGTGTGTTCTTTATTCTTTTTGTTAGCTTGTAAGTGTTTAATTTCAGGTGCAGAGATGAAGCGTAAGGCGAAGACCACCGATGGACCACGTAAGCATCCAAATTACGGTACAATCCTTGATGAGAGTGACGTAACTGTTACTCTCATCAAGGAGTCAAGGTCAAGTCATCAAGGTCAATTTGAGACGTTCATTCGTTGAGAGATGGGTTGTAGAATGCTCACAACATGAAAACGTGTTATCGAGCATTCTTAAATCGATGTACTTCACACATCAAAAGAAAAGATGTGTGAGCATTTTACAATCCATCATAAGGTTTCGCGCATTATTTGAGTCCCATATTGTAGATGGCGCTGGAATTAGTGACCCAGATATCAATAAACGTGTGCGCTGGGAAGAATGTGAGAGTGCGTTTGCGTGTAGACTGTACACTAATGTGATTGTAAATCTTGTACACATTGATATAAGCGCCTTTTTAGACGATGGGTCCACACTGTTTCAAGACCATATTAGAGGTGCTTTAAATAAGAATGGACCCATCGTCGTGTACGGCGTACTCATCGCAAACTTCAAGAGGGTGGAGAATGGCGAAGAAGTTGTAAAGCCGATTCCTTTTGGAACCAAGGCCAACAACATCTTCTCTACAACCCTTTTAGATGATTGGTTCAAGCAGTACATTAAGCAGCCGATTCTACATAGTGTTGAAGAGTTTTACTCGAAAGGTTCGAATTGGAACCTTCAATCGATTATAAGGCTTGAAATCAATGTAAATAAATATAATCCAATGCGTGCAAGCTCTTACATCGGTTTACCTCCACAAATAAAAAACAAGCATGCATGCATTAATGTTGAAAATAAAGATAATCAATGTTTCAAGTGGGCAGTATTGTCAGCCCTACATCCAAATGTATCACATCCTGAGCGCGTTACCAGTTATAAAGAATTTAAAGATGAATTGAACTTTGATGGAATTGAATTTCCAGTGACGCTTAAAAATATCCCGAAATTTGAAAAGCTTAATGATGTCTCGATTAATGTCTACGGTCTATCAAAGAGCTATGGTAACTTTACGGTACACCCTCTCCATCTTACTGCGGAAAAAGAGATAAGCATGTAAATCTCTTATATGTTGCCGACATGTATGCGGATGAAAATAATGATGATAATACTGTATTGTATGACAACGATGATTTTATGAACTTCCATTATGTGTGGATTAAAGATTTGTCACGCCTAGTGTCTAAACAATTATCGAAGAAGGCACATCGAAAACATATCTGTGACCGTTGTTTACACTACTTTTCAGGTGTTGAAAGATTGAACGCACACATTGAAAATTGTAAAAAAATGAATGAGTGTAAAATTAAATTACCGACGCCTGACAAGAGTCTGATCACATTTAAAAATTTTAAGAATAAAGAAAAGGTGCCATATGTAATTTACGCCGACTGTGAAAGTCTACTTCTTCCAGCGGATGAAGATGTAGACAATTTAAGTAAGACTGAAGTCTTCCAGCGTCACAAATTGTTAAGCATCGGATATTATATCAAATGTAGCTACGACGAATCATTATGTAAATATGTGCCGTGTCCGAAAAATGAATCTGACCCTGCGAAATGGTTTGCTGAGGAGTTAAAGCAGATTGCAGAGAAAATGAATAAAGTTTTTAAAAATCCGTTACCGATGACTGCTTTAACTCCTCAAGAAATCAATGATTTTAAGCAAGCGACAATATGTCACATTTGTCATGAGAAAATACAGGCAAGCGAGAAGAAAGTCCGCGATCACTGTCACCTTACTGGCAAATATAGGGGTGCTGCCCATGAATCATGCAATTTAAACTATCAAGATTGTCAAACGATCCCCGTAGTCTTCCACAATTTAAGCGGTTACGACGCCCATTTTATAATTCACGCGATTTCTACGAGCTTTGAAGGAAAAATTGACCTCCTCCCCATTAATAAAGAGAAGTATATCTCTTTTACTAAACACGTCAAGGGGAGTGAGGTCAATTTTCGATTCATTGACTCATTGCGATTCATGGCAGCATCCCTAGAAAAACTCGCATCATACCTAGACGAGTATAAAATTGTAAGCTCCGTTTTTGCCAGTACGGTGACAGATCCGGATAAAATTAAATTATTGACGCGCAAGGGTGTATTCCCCTATGAATACTTTGACTCGAAAAGTAAGTTGGATGAGACAGAATTGCCCCCGATCGAGAAATTTTATAGTACTCTGTATGACGCTGGTATTTCTGATGATGAGTATGCGCATGCGCAGAATGTATGGACCGAGTTTGACTGTAAAAATCTATATGACTATGTCCATTTGTATATGAAAACTGATGTATTGTTACTTGCGGACGTCTTTGAAAATTTCCGAGTAGAATGTGTAAAAGCGTATGGTTTAGATCCTGCCCACTACTACACAACCCCCGGTTTAACTTAGGATGCTATGCTCAAGTACACGAAAATAGGATTGCAACTAATAACCGATATCGATATGATTATGTTTGTTGAGTCCGGTATTAGAGGTGGCATAAGTCAATGCTGCAACCGATATACTATAGCGAATAATCAATATATGGAAAATTTCGATGATAGCAAAGATACTAGCTACATCATGTACTTTGACGCCAACAATTTATATGGCTGGGCAATAGCTCAAGCGCTCCCTTATGGCGGCTTTAAATGGGTTGAAAATGTCGACAACTCTTTCAATTTTAATGTATCCGACGATTCACCTGTTGGATACATACTCGAAGTTGACTTGGAGTATCCTGAAAATCTCCACGATACTCACAAAGACATGCCATTTTGCGAAGAAAATGCGAAACCACCCCTCTCGAAACAGGAGAAATTATTAACAACTCTCCAACCAAAAGAAAAATATGTGATCCACTACCGCACTTTAAAACAAGTTGTCGCCAACGGCATTAAGCTTGTTAAAATTCATCGAGTCTTACTGTTTAAGCAATCAACATGGCTTAAACCATACATAGACTATAATACAATGATGTGAACCAATGCCAAAAATGAGTTCGAGAAAAATTTGTTCAAGCTCATGAACAACGCTGTGTACCGCAAAACAATGGAAAATGTCCGTAAACATGTCGACATTAAGCTTGTCACCCAATGGTTTGGCCGCTATGGAGCTGAAGCCCTTATTTCTCGCCCGAATTTCCATAGTCGAGCGATATTCGACGAAAATCTGGTTGCCATTGAACTGCGTAAAACCGAGGTACTACTCAACAAACCGATCTATGTGGGGTTAAGTGTGCTTGATGTATCCAAAACGCTAATCTACGATTTTCACTACGGGTATATGTTAAAGAATACGGCGACAATTGTAAACTGATGTATACCGATACAGACAGTCTAATCTACGAAATTAAATGTAAAGATGTCTACAATGATATGAAAAATGACATCCAAAAGTTCGATACGTCAGACTATCCCGCAAACAACGTGTACGGCATTCCGCAAGCCAACAAAAAGATTCTCGGTCTAATGAAAGACGAATGTAACGGTAAGATCGTTACCGAATTTGTTGGCTTGCGGAGTAAGATGTACAGCGTACGGGTTGAAGGTAAAGATTTTATTAAAAAAGCTAAAGGTATTAAATCCGGCGTTGTGAAAAAATCGATTCACTCTGATGATTATGTAAAATGTCTGCGAGATTTCGACATTCAAACTCGAACACAGTATAATATAAGATCGCGACTACACAACCTCGAGACTGTAAAACAAATTAAAGTAGCTTTAAGTCCGCAAGACGACAAACGGTATTTGTTACCGGGGAGTACCGACACTCTACCGTGGGGACATTATGCGATCCCTAAAATCGACGAATGATTTTGTAAAATATGATTGTAAAAAAATAAAAGGTTTGTTAATAAATAATGCAATTATATACAATTTCCATGTGTTTTTATTTAAAAAATCCTTCCATATATACATAATAACATATGATTAAAACTTATATTAATGTAATATAATTTAAATGTGCAAATCGCCCCCAGTAACTTAACGCAAATGCCAATCAGCCAGCAAAGCAATCAAAGATTAATGTTAGCGTAGAATCTCTTTATAAATCAAAACTACTTTCAACAACAGACCTTCACAATGCCAGTGCCAACTGATTTAATAATGATTCATTATTGATTCATTATTGATTCATTGTTGATTTATTATTGATTCATTGTTGATTCATTATTGATTCATTGTTGATTTATTGTTGATTCATTATTGATTCATTGTTGATTCATTATTGATTCATTGTTGAATCATTATTGATTCATTGTTGATTCATTGTTGATTCATTATTGATTCATTATTGATTCATTATTGATTTAATGTAAATTAAATTTGGCACTGGCAGTGTAAAGGTCTGTTGTTGGAAGCAGTTTTGATTTATAGAGAGGTTCTACGCTAACATTAATCTTTGATTGATTTGCTGGTTGATTGACATTTGCGTTAAGTTACTGGGGACGATTTGCGAATAATAGATTATACATTTGCTTTATTTTCCCACGTATTGTGAGAATTATCAAAGCCAAGCCATTTGACAAGAACTTTGTTTCCACGTGTCTTGAGAATTTTTTCCACAAGATAAATATCTGAATATTTTACTTTAAGAAGTTCCTCTTCATAAAATCCTCCGCTGATGGGTTGATCTTGGTAATCCTTGAGCTTGTAAGTCACTAATTGAGTTGATACAACTTGATCCACGGTGAATATTTCTGTTGTCCAATTGGGTGTATATCCTTTCTCGAAAACGTTTTTATATTTGCTTACTCGAACTTTGTCACCAATTTTATACTTTGGTCGTCTTAAAGGAATTTTTCTCAGTTTAAAGATCCTTTCTTCTAAAATTTCAACGTCTTCTGAAGTAACATCTTTAGGCTTCATTCCAATTGTTCTATGTTTTGTATCATTATAGTTGGAAATAAAAGTAGGCAATATATCATACCACTTGTAATTTCCTCGTAAACTAAATTGCATCCACATTTTTCTTTTTAGTGTTCGATTAAACCGTTCAACAATGGAAGCTTTCATATTACTGTATGTTGAATAAAAATTTATTTTATGCTTTTTCATTAATGTTTCAAATTGTGAGTTATAGAATTCTTTTCCTTTGTCACTATGCAAGTTTTTTGGTATGCGTTTTTTAGCAAATATAGATTGCATTGCATGAGAAACATCTTTTCCATTTTTACTTTTTACTGGAACAGCCCAAGCATATTTCTAAAATATGTCTATAACTGTTAGTAAATACTTGAAACCTTTATTTATTTTTGAATAAGGTATCATTTCTACTAAATCTTTTTGCCAGGTCTCATCAATATCACGCATTTCAACTCGCCGTCAAGGATAATTTTTTCTAGCCTGAGTATGAAGTTCATTCACTACTGTTAATTTTTTATCAGCCATCACTGTTGAATAAATTTAGCCTCTTTGATAATATAATTTTGATGTGATTCAATTTCTTTAAGTTTTTCGGTAACTCGTGCTTCAATAACTAGAATAAAATTATTCAAGTCATCAATAGCTGATCTTAAAGAAGATGTAATTTGAATAACAGGTTTTATCTCGTTTCGTATAATATGTTGAGCAAGTCTTAAATTTATTGCGTCGTGTTGCTCTTCTGCGTCAGCAAGATTAGAGAGTTTTCTTCCTTCAACGTCAAAGTTACCTTGAGAATTAAGTTTAAAACCAACTCCAGGAGGCCCTCGTCTTGCTGTTCCTCTTTGAGTGAGAGGATGTCCAAACACGTCAATGCATCTTTAGGAGTAATGACATTTTCATGCTCACTAAATGGTAAATACTCTACTCCTTCAACATTATTAACAACTTGTTCCAAGAATTTATACTTGGGTTGATGTAAAGACTTTGAGTATAAGTAAATATTATCAAATCTAAGACCATTAGGATGTAAAATTAAAGAAAGGAGTACATTTGTCTTTCCACAATTTGATGGTCCACAAAAAATAGCTCGAATACTACCGGAAAATAAACTACCATGACGCTTCACTTTCTTGTCTTGTTGTTCAACAATCGAGTCTAGATTGACGACTGGCAGCTTGTGAAGTTGTTCCTTGAACCGCATCCTGATTTAGACTGCCGCTAAAGGTATAAATACAGCGCTTATATAGCTAACAAGTCATTCTAATTTTAACTTTCACAGAGTAAGGTATGATTATACATCATCGCTCTCAAGGAAAAGGCTTAATTAATAAACTTATAAACAAGTTACCATTTGAATTACATTTGCCAGGTTATCAATATTGTGGACCAGGCACAAAGTTAGCAAAACGTCTAGACCGAGGTGATCCAGGTGTTAATCCATTAGACACCGCTTGCAAAGAGCATGATATTGCTTACTTGAAAAATCGAGAAAACGTTGAAGAAAGAAACGCTGCTGGTAGAGTATTAGCTGACAAAGCGTGGCAACGTGTATTTGCTCCAGACGCACGATATAGTGAAAGAGCTGCAGCTTACGCAATAACAAACGCTATGAAAGCAAAATCAAAATTTGGAATGGGAGTAAAGAAGAAGATAAAATCAAAAAAACGAGTAAATCTTAGGAAAATTGTGGATGTTGCAAGAAAATCAATAATTCCTGGTAATGATGCTCGATCAACAATAAAGTCAGCTATTGAAACAGCTCGAAAAGCTGTAAGGAATGCAGGTGGTAGAGAAAAGGTTTTAACACTTCGTATTCTACCTGTGCCATCAAAAGTTGGTGGTCTGTTACCATTAATTCCAATTTTTGCTGGGCTAAGTGCACTTGGAGCACTTACTGGGGGAGTTGCTGGTGTAGCAAAAGCTGTTAATGATGCAAGTGCAGCAAAAGAGCAGTTGAAGGAAGCTCAGCGTCATAATAGAGAGTTGGAAGCAGTGGCACTTGGCAAAGGTCTACATTTAAAACCATACCGACAAGGGTTGGGACTTCATTTGAAACCATACGTTAAAGGACAAGGTATTAAAAGACGATGTAGAAAAAAAATGTTTAAAGCTGCCTCAACGAGCACTTACAGATCTAGATTTACTTAAATATGCTAAAGAAATGAAAATTTCCCATTTTCGAGGAGTTTTTATGCGAAATAAACTACCTATAAGTGGTCCTCGAAAAAATGAATCCGCCATTATTAATTTAGATGATAAAGATGGTTCTGGAACTCATTGGGTTGCATATAAAAAAGTTAACAATAAAGCAGTATACTTTGATAGTTTTGGTAATCTTCAACCACCCTATGAACTTGTCAATTACTTAGGTTACAATACTTTAATACAGTATAATCATCAAAATTATCAAGATTATAATAGCTTTAATTGTGGTCATTTATGTCTAAAATTCTTATGTGGACAGCTTAAAATAAGTAAAAAATATATTCTATATAAGTGATTGTAAGTCATTCCAGCTAATCAGTTTATAAAAAGTCATCA